TTTAAATTTGATTTATAAAATCTTTTAATTAGAATTTGAAGCAAAAAAATAAAGATCTACAAAAAATTCTAAATTGGAATTTCAGGATGAACTAAAATTTTCAGGCGAATTATGTTAGTGAAACTAAAATTTTCGGTCGAACTTATATTAGTGAAATTAAATTTCAGGCGAAAATTTCTGTTTAATAAATATTAAAACTAAGTTATTAATTTAATTTTAATTTACTTAATTAATCTAATTTTTTGTTATATATAGAACATATTTTTTGATTATTCTAACAAATAAATTTATTTTTTTTAAATCACATTATTTTTTTTAATAATATCTTTTAAAATCAAATAACATTAATCTTTTTCTTTTTTAAAAATGTCAGGAAACACTATCTTATGCAAATGTTTAGTTTGTTTAAATCAAAATATATGTGGTGTAATAGTAAGTTTTAGCACTTTTTATCATCATCGAAAAAATCAACAAAAATTTTTAGATGTAAAAGAAACAAATATAATTTATGATGAGCAAACCATAGAAGATATACAACAAGATATATATCAAGAAGAAAATAAATATCGACAAGAGAATCAACTAGATATAGTTAATAAAGATTCTAATACAGATTCTGATATAATGAGTTTTAATTTTAATGAAGAAGATTATTCTAATAATAATTTAAATGCAGAAGTAAATATTGAAGAATATGATGATTATGATGATGATGAGAAAGAGGAGGAAGGAAATGATTATGATGATGATGAGAAAGAGGAGGAAGAGAATGATGATAATGATGATAATAATAATGATAATGATGATAATATGGTCGAGAATATTGTTATATTTAATAATTATATGTATTACTTGTATCGAAAGACATATTAATTTTATAAAATGAACATTTATTATTAGTTTCTTCTTTATTTTATTTTTTTTTATTATTGATAGCATTTATTATTAGCGTTTCTATATATGTTTTATTGGTATTGCTTATTATTTTATTGATATTATTATCTTATTATTATTTTATTACTGTTATTATTTTAAGAAATTTGGCTAACAAAATTTAAGTTAGCGCAACAAAGATCACTAGCCATTAATGTTCGTTGAACATTATTGTTCACTGGTTATTAATGTTCGTTAGACATTATTATTCACTGGTCATTAATGTTCATTGGACATTATTGTTCACTGACCATAATTGTATTGTTAGAAATTTAGTATATAAGTGGCGAAATTTCCTTTAATAAAAAGTAAAGATAAGGGACGAAACTCAAAAATGGCAATTAATAAACAGCTGAAACTATATTAAAACATAGTGAAGGGTACGATGAAATCCCAACACCCGAAATTAGCCAAAACTATATTAAAAACATAGTAAGAAATATGATGAAATTATTTTGAGGGAGTTTCGGCTGGCATCTTTAATAAAAAGAGATAACAGTTTTAACACAATAACAAAGAATTAAATACCTGCAATAATAAATAGTTCATCCAATCCTTGAAAAAGTCTGATAATTCCCTAAACACGAAAATATCGCATCATTATTATTTCTCTTTACATTTTATTGTAATAACTCCTAAAGATATAATTAATTATCATACCTGATTGTATAGAGCGCTAACATTGCAGGCAATACGATATCTATGTTGAATTAGATTAGAAATTCTGATTATTATTAAATAAATTAGTAAATATAATAAAACACAAACCTTCTGCTTACCTTTAAAACTCTGTTTATAACCCATAAACAATAAAGAACTGCTATTAACAATATAGATAAAGATACAAATAAAGATATATTTAAAAAAGAAATCATAGAAGGATTAAAACTTTTACATTTAAAATCCTTATACAATTTCACAGAATCTGCATATAATGATAT